AAAGAAAAAAAAACTTCTGAAAGAAAAAAAACTTCTGTAAGAAAAAAAACTGAAAGAAAAAACTTCTGAAAGAAAAAAAAATTCTGAAAGAAAAACTGAAACACTTCTGAAGAAAAAACTTCTGAAGAAAAAACTTCCTTCTGAAGAAAAAATCTTCTGAAGAAAAAAAATTATTCAGCACAAAGTTTTGATTAGTTTCCATCCCATTGTTTTCCTAAAAATCAATAATGTGATTTTATCAATTTTAAACGCCCTAAAATTAGCTAAATCGGCGCTTTAGGGTGATTGCGTAATATGCGTGCATTATGACCTTTGACTTTTTACGGGTCATGCAGCTCTGTGCCGGCCGCCCTCCCACCCCTCGGCGTGCGTTTTATGGGAAAATTTCTACCTTTTTAGGGGTTTCGGGACCTAAAAAACTAACACCAGAGGGAAAATAAACCACATACGTTATTTTTATGGTAAATATCGCTAAAATGGACCACGCATTTTTCTTCCGCGTTACCGATTTTTAAAAAGGCCTCGCCATGTGCTTCACGCCGATAGCGACTCGCCTTCCCCCGTCCGGTTTTGTGAGCAAATTTCTGCTTTTTCAGACGTTTTGGAACTTAAAAACCGACAGCAGGCGAAAAATAAACAATATACTTTATTTTCATGGGAAATGCCGCTATACTGGCCCAGACATTTATCTGTTGCGTTAACCGAATTTTGCGGCCGCCACATGCTCATGGTGCGGTACGGTAGGGAATTTTCCACGGCTAGTTCGTAAACGCATCGGCTTTATAAACTTATTTTCGGGGTCGAGGGCTTTGTTTTACAAACCAATCAGACAATTAGCGTTGTTTACATGACTTAAAAACGCTAGCGGGGCGCCCGATGTTCCACCAATGACAGCTATTCTCTCGGTAGCGTCGTGCGAAATGGTCATTGTTTACTCGTTTATCGCCCATTCACAAGTTTCAGAAACAATGCCGACGGGAAAATGGACGCCACTCGCGTCAAGATTTCGATGTTTTTTGCCTATTTATCCGCGAAAATACGAAGAGAAGACGACCCTTAATTTGAAAATTTTGGGAGTGGCGCTAGAAATTTTGGGAGTGGCGCACCGCCGTTGCACCATTGCCTGGGGAGACCCCTGATGTTGGTTCTTGGATTTAGGAAGATAATGCTGAAGAGAAATTCAAGCATGAAAACAGAGTCAAAGAAGAAGAACAAGTATAATATTATACATACTTCACATCATCACGCAACAGAACCATTTCTGTAGTCATCGCAAGCCTCGGCTTCTGGTTGGAGCGTACCACATTCCTGATGACCTCAGAACTCCCAGGATCCTCCCTGACCAGGGTATGATCCAAGATGGCTGCCGTGTCATCTGAGGTCAGCAGGTTGAAGCGGATGTGAGGGAGGATGCTGGGTAGGTGCTGCAGTCTGCAGGGAACAAGGTGAAGTGAGAGATTTGGGTCATATTTTTCATCTCTGCAGAAAATTCTGGCATGTCTAATCATTTGGCAAACAATCAAAAATCAACATCCACGTGCTTGTTATCAATATCAGCCCAGAAAAGAACAAGAAACAGTCCTGTCTTCAAATACAGAGTTATCAACCAAGAATTGAGGTGTTCAAAAACTCGTATTTCCCCAGAACTATCGTAGACTGGAACTCGTTGCCACCAAGCACAGTAGGGGCATCATCACTAGCAAGGTTTAAACAAGTCCTGCTACTGTAATTCCTGATTTGTTCACTGTACTGATAAGTTCACTGTTTTCACTGTCTCTTGTGTAAAGTGAACTTATCATTACAGTTAACAAATAATTCCTGGACTTTCTTTTTCCTGCACTTGTCACCACCGTGAACATATAGTTACGTGAACATGTCCATTTTTCTCAGACCGTGAAATTTTGCTACCGTGAACATAAAGTGAATTACAGTATTAAATGTGCAAAGATTGAGTGTAACAAGTCGTTCGGTGTGATATAGCTAGCTGCTGCCGCGCCGTGTGCCTGCAAAGCTGGTGTGTTACGCCGAAGGGTGGTTATATCGGCTATACAGATACAGGTTCCTTCAGTAGTAATATTATGTAATTATCAACTAATTTCATCAATGAAAGATATCTATATTAGTGCTGCCCACCTGTCCTCCCTGCTGTGCTGCACCCATCTCACCACAGCCTCCCACACTCTGGTCTCCTCTTTAACCTCCAGCTCATCCTGGCTGATGATCTCAGTCAGCTGATCCACACTCAGGCTGCAGAACTCATCACTGGAGGAAACCTGTGGAGATGTGACGTAATTGGCTATTCAAATTATATACCTGTTTCCATGGTAACTGGTGTTAGGTTACATAATGTTGCAATTCTATAGCAGGAGGGATTTAGACTCCTGTCACCATATGTGTGAATGTGTATGAGTAAGAGAAAGTAAACATTATGCATTTTCTCGGCAAATCTTTTTAGTTGGTTTCTACCATTCATATCATTACGTGAAAAATTATTTTATTTAAGTGCTGATCACACTAAAAGAAGACCAACCTCCACAAAATGCTGGCATATATACTGCAGACAAGAGTTCAGAACAGCATCCACCGTGAAGACATCAGCAAACTTGTACAGGTCCACACAGGTGGAGTGCTCCACGTTCATGTCCATGTAGCTGCTGCAGGTGTCTCTCACATAGTCCAGCTGCAGGAGGTCGGCTGCCTGGTACAGGGGCTGCACTCTGTCCAGAGACACGTGGAGGGTTCCCGAGTAGATGTAACTCAGGATCTCCTCAAACATGTCTGCATCCAAACCCTGTAGCATCAAAGCAAACAATAAATAAATTTTCGAATATATCATTGAGTTACTAGTTCTACAAAGAGATGTTTCTTTGTGCCAAAAACAGTTACTCAAGCAACTGGATATGATTTTCTGTATCTGTATAGCCGATATAACCGCCCTTCGGCGTAACACACCAGCTTCGAAGACACGCGGCGCGGCGGCAGCTGGCTACAATTGACACCGATGGACTTGTTCTGATGATAATGCCCCTATTGTACTTGGTGACAGCGAGTTCCACTCTGCGATAGTTGTAGGAAAGAAACGGTCAGGCCAAGGTTTGATTTTTTTTTAAATGCCGATTGTATTTGACAAAAAAACATCTTATCAAGACACTTGTTTGAAGCAAGGTGTTTTGTGGTCTTGTTGTAACACTTTAAACGTTCTGACAACCCTACATTGTACCTGTAAAACGACCGTGTTCTGCCGACTTTCCGCCATGTCACTTGTAAACATGGCTCTGAAGTAGGGGCTGGCCGCGGACAGAACAAGGCGATGGCAGGGAAACCGCCGGCCCTCGACTTCAAGGACGACATCCTGCAGTTCCCCTTCCTTCTGTAAGTCACCCACAGCTCCGAGAAACCCGTGCTGATAGCTCTCGTCTTGGTAGGAACGAGGACGAACTGAGCTGGCGTGGGTTTCTTGGTCCGCGGCAGCCATGTTGATGATGATGAGGGTGCTGTACCTCCCGAAGGGAACTGTATGCGTACTTTGATTACCCACATAATGTAGCGAGATGGATTAATAACCGATATCGATATTAGCTGTACCTGGGGGAACTGCTTTGTAGAAAACCGCATCCAAATATCTAACATTCTCTAGGCAGTCCTCCTGAGTCCAAGAAGTCAATGTACAACTTAATATATATGTATATCTACATCTTGATTGTATAGTAACAAGAATTCCGTACTTCAGTTTCCGAGTGAACTGGTAAGCTGCTAGCCCCCTAACGGTTGACCAGCTGCCGAAATTTTGTTAACTAGTATATAATACCAATAGAAAAATAGGTTGAAGTGGTGTCAGTTGTCACCCCCTTTGTCTATCTTGTTGGAAATCTGCCAGTGATTTTTTCACTGTTATAGAGTTGACTTGACACTGAGTGGCCTGCAGAACTCAGGGCAGTTTCGTCGCTTAAATCTATTGCTTTGATTCCACTTTTGCAAAAAAGTAGAAAAATATCTCTGAATCACAGTTAAAATATCAACTTCACTATACAGTGTAATTTATTGACGATATGACACAGAACTGTAATTGTATTTAACGACCAAAACATTAGTAAAAAATAAGGCACAACTTATCATTGAAAATATTTTATTGATGATCAATGTTAAAAGTTCAAACTTTCGTATTACATATGTTACTTTTTGCCATTTCATCATTAAATGTAAGGCAGACGTGGAATGAACATTGTGAAATGGTTGCAAAAATAATTCTAAACAAATCATTGTGTCAATATTGTGTCAAATAAAGAAACATTTACAATACATGTCACAGTCATGCATATCAGTATATGGTCATTTTGTTCAAGTCACAGATTTATAGATTGAAAATGCATGATGTCAAACGCAGATAGCAACTAATACTATATAGACATTGATTAACCATTGGCACCTATGATATCATCTTTCTGATTGGTTTCATTTGACAATGACAAAGGGTAAAAAAAAAACTTTGCTCACACAAAACGAAACAATCATATACATTTGTACAAAGGTAGCCCTAGAGTCCTTGATATGTACATGTCGAAAAGTAATCCTCTTCGGTCGGCTAGTTGTCTTCTTTCATCCATACGTCTCTCTGGACATAATTTTTATATGTTTGATAAGATCATGTATGGTAAGTTAGGGAAGGGAAAATGACAGACTGAATACATATGTACATTAAGCCATCCATCTGGATAACAATATGTTCCAGGAAACAACACATTTCATTGTTTTCTACAGCTAGTGTTACATTTTTTAACATTACACTTACTATTCGGTTTTGTTGATGTAAAACAACAAGTACACCTAAAACCTCATCACAAGCTTTGTGCTGTATTCTCTTCTTTAATGTCGATAAGCGCCTGCTTCAGAACCTGTAGAGTGGCTTTATCGGCGTCTCTTGCTAGCCACCTTTCAAGTACTTCTCTGCACTTGCGTTCGGGGCCATGCAATGACTCTGTGACTCGAATAGTTTCGATCTCGCCACGTTTCAAACCCAGTTTGCGAGCCAATTCTTCCCACTTGTAGCTCACGTTTTCGACGACTTTGTCGAAAATAGCTTTCTCGTCAACTAGAAAAGTGTGCAAAAGAGAGACGTTTTTCATCTTGACATTGTCCTCATACATCATGACATTGCAACATTTAGTTGAAAAGGAGAAGAATTGAGAAGAATCCATCTAGATTTAGCCAATGTCATGACAGCCCAATTCAGGAAAGTAAATCAACACCACATATGGACAAAGATGGTTCACAATCTCATGATCACCAAACCTTTTTCGGGATGATATAATGACCAAAACGTTGTAAAGTACATCGTAATGATTTATGTCTTATACGTTTTTTTTAGCAAACTAATATACCGTACATGATCTATTCCACATCTAATTATAATGTATATAATATCTATCTTGTCACGGATGTCGCAAATGCATATTCATGGCAACAAATTTCTCTATTCACAATCGTACAACGGTACAACTATGGCCCACTTTTTGGTGACCGTCTGTCACCTTCCTCATGTTAATGCATAAGCCACTACTTCCTGATACCAACGAAAATCCACACAAATCTCATATTGTGCCTTGTATATCTAGCAGACTAGCAGTACACGTACCTGAAGTGATCGGTGTATCCGGCTGTCCCTCCCTTGTGGGTGTTGAATGACCACTGTCAGTTCCATCGGCTTGTCCCCTGTAGCGACCTGGATAAAGACAGTATTCGCTCCGTAAATACTGACAACGTGGGAGACAGAATTTTATAAACTTAGATTATCATGTTTGTTTTTTCTTTAGATCGAAATCCACATTACCCCTATTAATTACTCGTCTGATACGAAAATAATACGTTGCAATAGCCAGACTTTATTTCACACGCTCATCAACATCAGAAACAGCCTCAATCTGTCAAAGCTAGATGATGGATTTAGTCATGGTTGGTCCCCATATCTTCTTTGATGACCTTATAAGCCTATTCTTGAGCGAGTTTCTACCACATTTGTACGGGTGCCTAATGTATGTATTCCTTCTTCACATTCTGCAATTAATAACGAGGGCGTTTTATCTGTTACACCGAACGTACCAAGTATCAGGTCTAAAATAGGTGTGTTCCTGTCGGTCTCCTCCAGAAGTTGCAAGTGCAGCCGGGTGGGAGTTTCAAGCCAGAGGTCTTGGCTAACTTCAACCCGGAACGATGCGTACACTATGTTAGTGTCGATGGTGTCTTCGAAGGTAAGGAACTGAAAACCAATGGTAGACACAATAATTGATATGTGGTATTGAACATGGTTGAATTAGAGCTGATTTCTGAAGAGGGCAGTGGTGCTTTCCATAAGTCCTGGCATTTGTATATATTTGAATACATGCAAACATACAAAGCTTTGATTTAATCATGGGTAAATTTGGTTCGTCGCTCGATCGGTCTTGTCACATATCACAGTAACTCACACATGTACACCTCAGCTTAAATTAAAGAATCAAATACATCATCAGATGAAAGTGGTACGTAAATGTTTCAGATATGACTAGCCTTACGCAGTTTGTATCAAATGCAAAACAAGTGAGTAGGAAATTTTCACAAGCCACATGGAAAAAAAATTGCAGGATGTAAAATGGCTTACAAACCTTTGGAGATATTTTCACCTCAATGTCTTCACCATTTATAACATTCCCTTCCAGATAGTATTTAAGACCTCTGTATAGTTGGCAGGGCATGGTGTCACAGAGTTTATAGTCCAAGTCCTCTTCGTCCAGCTTGGTGGCCTACATGTGCGGTTAAAACTTTATCAATTACATGTGAGAAATACAATGGCACAAACTTTCAGTTATCATCATCCGCATGAAAGCCTCAGGAAAAAATATTTCTAAACCGGGGGCCGGCCTGGCTGCTTTTTCTTAGCCAAAGATAAACAATTCATATCAACAATGTACACAAGTCATTACCATAATTAGTTTTGCTTGTTTTGTTCCTTTTTTTTTTTTTTACTTGCCCTCCCGCAAACTACTAGCTCTCTCAGGTTGGATCTGGTGGGAATCGTGACATAACATTAGCGCTATAGAGCATAAGATAATAAACGGTAGTACCCACCTTTATCACAGTCTTGTGGTTGGAGACGAGGTACACTTTCAGTTTGGAAAGGTCTGAGTTGTCCATGGAGCGAAATGCCATCAGTAAGCCGCTCCGCCTTAAGTTTGATACTTCTCTTGTCCTTCCAACCACCCCGAACAGACTGCCTCTCTTGAACCTGGTGACCGCGTGGGAGGGGGTGAGTTCTGTAACCGGCAGCAACTCGGCGGAATCTCCCACCACGTGCACCACTTGGAGGTCTTCTCTGGTGATTTCTAAAGTAGGTTGTATATAAACAATAATGATTTAGCATTTTAGTAACATTGTTCTAGGTACTGAATTGGAAATAAACATAGTGGGAAAGCAATTTCTAGCAAACAATTTATATTTCGTACCTGAGGCATCATCTATGTACAATACATGAGGCAGCAGGATGTCGACCGGCCCCTCAACGACCTGACACTTGATGGAGAAGAAAGGGCCCACAGGCATCCATTCCTGTTCCTGTTCCTGCGACCAAGTGTGGTCAGACCAGTTCGCACTCTTGTAGGTCACGTGTAGCGGGTAGGGCGTCACCACGCCCAGGTCGGTCCGTCTGCACAGGTACTTCCCTTCACCTGGCAGGGGGATGCACCTGAAGAGATAAGCGCATTGTAATCTTTGCAATACTACTATAGACTAAGTGTTGGTGCAAGGACTTGTAGGTTTTGACGAATTTGATAAGCGTCAACTTAAAAAGGTGACTCACCAGCGTTTGTCTTCGGTCAACTCTGGATCGACCTCTTGAAACTGCATATCCTCCCGGTATTCCTGAATTACATAAGATACATGGCACATGTTAAGCTGCTTTTCAGATGGTTTGATAAAAGCACAAGCCATAATTTTTTCCTCTCTATATAAAGTAGGCTTAAGTATCAGACGGAAAAGATTGTGAACTAACTTTGTATATCCCATGTACAACTGCAGCCAAGTCCAGTTTGCCGATTGCCTTCTGTGTTTCTTCCAACTGCATCAGGTAGTGGAGCGGTCCATTCACGGTCTTGGGGAACCAATGCTCCATCAGATAGAGCGCCTGCTTGGCGCCGTCCTTGCGGACATGGTGCAGAAATATTTCTGTCCAACAAAATGTGTTTAATTCGAGTACCTCATATCGAATGCAACGACAAGAAAAACGCCATGGTTATGAATTTTTGAGACTTTTCAACTTATTGATCATGAAAAACAACCATAACGAACATTTCATGATTTTCCATAGGTATGCAGGTCAACAAAATGGTAGAAAAACTTAATACTCATCATATATACCTAGAGTCCGAAATTTCAGACATACGTTAGATATGAAAGCATACTAGTAATTAATGAAAATAAAAAAGCAATGACTTGCTCATAAGAATTACCTGTAAGATGAGATTGGTGGCTGTCATCCATCCAAACAGAGTGGAACGTCATAGGTATTCTAGTGAAGAGAATGTACATGTAAGGTTGATAGTCATTTCATATCAATTTTAGCTTGTTTACTTTCATATTTTCAGTGCAATTGATAAAAGAAGCAAACAAATTCAAAGAAGAAAAGGCAACATTGATGTTTAGTTATTATTGACATTTTGACCTCTCTTACCCCAAAAGCTGCGTCAGTGTCTGACATTCTGCCGGCAATGTTTGGAATGTGGGCTCTCCTTCGCCCTCTTGTTTTGTAGAGCGACAGAGCTCGTACTTGATCCAAGGGATCCACTTCTCTTTGATCTCTGACAAGGCGCCACTGAGGAACTCCATGATACACAGACCTTGCGTGAAGACGTTAGAAGACGACAGAAGCTCCACCTTGATGTAGTGGTTCACTTTGGTGATGACGAAATTTTGATTGCTGTCATCTGTAGAAAAGCGCGCACATCCGGCATACACGGTAGACTCTTCCAGTCCGAATCTACGTGCACACAAGGCCTGTAGCTGGCAGAACATGTCACCAGCGCCGGGTAGAAACTTGTCGCTGAACACGAAGTAGAGTGCCTCTGGACAAACAACCATTTTGTTGGGATACAACATGGCATTGTCCCTTTTGCAGTTGAGAAGTGCAGGCACGAGATACATCTCTTCTGGCAGAGACTCGTCACTAGTATCGCTGATAGGTGTGGCGTTGCAGAGCATACAGTACTTTTCCAGAAGCGCCTTCAGATATTCCTTGTGTCGTAGCAGAAATGGTTTGCCTGACCGCAGATCTTCCCAGATTCTTGTCAGGAAGTTGTCGCTGAGGATTCCTTTCTGTGTCAGCCTCTCCCACATCTTTGTCACCTCTGGATTCCCCTGCCCGTACTGCTGGTACATTGGGGCTGCGGTGATGGTTTTAAAGACGTCTATCAGCACCTGCGGCTGCAGGGTGACTTCGTCACGGAGACGGGGCTCGTCAAAAAAGATTAGGTCACCTCGATCATGAAGGAAAGTCAGAACCATGGTGATCTTGCTCTTGTCTGTGTCAGGATCTCGAGCCCATTTCGCGACATCCTGGAACTTGCAAACTGGATCCCCGTTCAGATCTTTGATCTTAGTCTGCAGTCTGGATATGAGATGAAGCCACGACCAAGGGATTGATTCTACCATATGGGGCTGGCTTCTTACCACTCTCAGGAAGTAACGTCGAACATAGGATACAGAGTGTTTATCAGTGTTATCCACCACGAATATGTCTGGCAAAACTAGCTCTTCTATGCCCTTCTTGCGGATGAGTCTGCGTATTTTCCTTTTGTACTCCGTGATGCATCTCTGTGAATCGGCATGTGATTTTTTGATAAAGTTAATATAGAACAGTCCACTTTGGGATGGGAGATGGGATGGGATGAAATATGCTATATTTGCTCCCTAGTAAGTGTCAGCCTGGCAAAGTTTCTAGTTTACCATATTTTGTTTATTCAGCTTTTTTAGATAGGCTATGCTGGCGCTTTGATTAGTCGTACCAGACTAGAGGACATTGTCTGACAAAAATAGAAAACGTTTACCTTTTAAACACCCAAAAGCGAAACCTTGGTAGATCGAAATGCGTCCTTACTAAATCATAATATGAACTAGGCAAAATTACGAGAAATACATTTTACCTTAGAGACCTTGTCCTTATGTGTGAGGACGATGAGGACCTGTGGCTGTGTTGTGGCTTTATCTGCCCGTTGTCTAGTGGCATGTTGTAGTGTGTGAGATCGTATCGAGTTAAGTGAGTAGTCCAGGTAATCTAGATAACGACAAATTGATGACAGAGATGAGTTATACATGTACTGTAGGTAGTTGTTGCAGCAGAGACATGACAAGGATTTAGCCTGTCTGCCACATCCCCAGGACTTGGTAGAGACTCTTATCTTGTCAGCTTTTACATTGGCTTTCAATTAGTGCATTCTATTTTAACATCAATCTCAAATCTCATATGTGGCCTTACCACTTTTAAACAGAACATTCAAGTGACCGTTATAGATCGTATCAGACCGCGGTCATCTTGAATAAAATTGTTTGAATTGCTTGCACTAGAGTATTGCACGTACCAACTTTTATCCTCAGTCTTCAGTCTTCCTATTGCAGGCTGATGTCATTTTCAGTAAAACAATTAGGATGATGAAATGTATTTTACTTGCCTCCTCCTGTCCTTAAGTTGTTCACAGATGCCATGTAGTCCAGGTCCGATACAGGGTCTGACAGTTTCTGCAGCAGAGACATGACGAGGATGTAGATTCCCTGGAATGTACTCAAGCGTTGGGGGGACTCGTAGCAAGTGGCATGACCGCTGAACTCCAAGAAAGACAAACTTGGGTTTTCAGCAGTTCTGAGTTCATCCTCCACCGAAAAACCTACATCTCGTCCCCTTTTTCTCTTCACAGTCCCCAGAAAACCGCCAGGAATGGCCGATGGTCGCACTAATGAAGTATATCCTGAATCTAGAGGAAGAATATATGGTTTGTGGAATCAATGCCTGCAACATCGCATGCAAGACTTACGACAAGAACGAAAACGACTCACCAAAACTTAAATCACCAACCAGGTCATGACAATGATCAAAATAGTAAGGGCACCATTGCCATACCTGGTGACTTCTCCCGTAACTTGGTTTGGGCATCTGAAGAGATCTGTGGTTCATCAGTGCTCGGTTCGTCAGTTTGTCCCATCAGCCTGTTGATAAGGTAGGTCTTCCCCGATCTGATCTGACCCATCACTGGAACTCGTTTTCTGTATAAAGGCAGCGACAGCGCCTCCTCGCTGCAAGATTCTGTATACGACTTCGCCATTTTTGGACCTTGGTCTTTAATTGAAGTCGGGAGCAGCTCTAAGAGAGATTTGGGATGAATGTGATTAAGTACGTACCTGGGTTGGTTGTGTTTGAAAAACCGGCATTGACCCAAGACACCGTGCCCAAGAGCAAATACGACATATTGACCTCATCTTGAACAGAACTACAGTAGCTACAGCTCGGCCCTGTCTGAACTCTCCCTAACCACACTTTCCCAACGACGGCATGAACTGTGCAGGAAGTATGCTGAGTCACTGCTGAAATCCCCGATCTACAGAAACTGGCTGCCACCATGCCGCGAGACCGTATCAGGCATGACGACCAGGTCCAGCAAACAGCTACAAACTCTCAGACCTAGAACTGTTCGATTTTCTAAGAGCTCGATCTACTTTGTGACAAAGTTATTGAACGATGTGTAAGTTTATGTATACCGGATGTTATATAACGGCTGAGCAAATTTCATATGTATATACAGTATTTGTAAGGCGGCATTGATTTTACATTGTAAGAAGTCGTCAATTCAGCCATTTAGGCTGACACAGACTTTTAACCTGTTTGTTTATGTGTTTATGTGAATAATAATAAACCAGTCATCATCATCTTCCTCCCCAGAAAAATGGACTGTTCCAAACTAACACTTGTACAAAGTAGAACATCCAAATAGCTTCTGCCCAAAGTGAACTAAAGTGCTGCCAAGTCATCTCAGTTACAAATGGAGCCGTCCCAATTTGACCCCAACTGAAAAAGATTGTTTCCCCTATTCGACAATGAACCCTTCCTGTGGCATTCACATATTTCTGTCCCATGCTCTTAGATCTATGTGAATAAAATGATATAAATAAAATTAAAATGGACTTAACTGCCACAAAACGGAATCTTCTGTAATCTCACTAGTCCAAAATTGAATTTAACAAAAAATTCCCCTACTCACAAATTGACCTGACCTTCGGCCCCATTTGCTGATGTAGATCATTCCAAAAATGCCTACACAAACAAAAAATTGGACATTTTCATAATCACCCAAGTCCAAAATCAAATTCTAAAAAAAATGTCGCTATTCAAGAATGGACTCTTCCAGCAACACTACTTTCACACAACGGCCAATCACCAAAGTCCAAAATTCAATTCTAAAAAATGCAAGAATGGACTCTTCTATCAGACCCAATGTAATGTTATGAGCGAAAACACTTCCACACAAAACATGGGATTTTTTATCACCAGTGTATGATTAAAGTGATGTAAAAACTGCGTCAGACATTTTTTTCACACTTTTACAAAGCACCTCCTGAGAATCATAGGGAAGAATTCAACCAAATAGAGATTCAGTACCATTCTATATTGGGGTGTCGCTGCAAGGGTCCATTCCAGAATAGAAGGAACAATCTCTTTTACTTGGGGTCAAATTAGGAAGGCTACGTTTTAGGCGACATTGAATAGACTTGGCAATACTATAGATAAATTTTGGATGACTTTTGGATGAATTTGAGATGACTTGGCAATACTATAGTTAAATTTAGGAATGTTCTTCCGTTCTTCACAGGGATGAGCTTGGAAAAGTCGATTTTCTATAGGAAGGAGATGGAGTGAAATATGCTCTATTTGCTCTTGAGCAAATGTCGGCTTTTCTAGTTGTAAATACAATTATTTAAATTCAAACTAGAAAGGCCGACATTTGCAAGGGAGAAAATGCAAGAGATGGCTTCACCACATCCTCCCGTACCACAAATGGACCTATCCCCTTCTCGCACGAAATGGATTGTTCCTAAATCAACCCTGTCCAAAATGTGAAGTGTTCCAATAGTCTATACCCCAATGCAGCAATGGACTCTTCCAATGTCCTTTGCTGCTGGAACATGTAGATCCATGGTAGAACCCGGTACCTACATTAGGTCTTATTCAGCACATTTATTTTATTGTTCGTTTTTTTGTACTTTGCCATACACTGTACCATGTGAAATTGTCGTGCAATAACGTTCTTCTATAATGTAGCTACCATGTAGGATCTGATATTTTGGGTCAAAACTGCATTGTTTCAAGGAAATTTGATAGTACTCTAGTACTCTAGTGACCATGTTGTTCGATCTCTGTGACCAATGAAGTTTACATTAAACTATAAATGATTACTTTTTTTTATCTTAAAGGTTACATTGAATCAAGGAGGTTTTCCTTGATTGAATTATGTTAGGTACTATTGATGTAAGAAAACAAATTTCAAGAAAATCTACATATTTTGCTTTACTTTAATCCGAAATTAGTGGATTTTGTATATATAAAAGCATTGATATTACCATGTCAAATGCAAAACAACGAGATGAATTCTACGGAAAAATGTCTGGAATATAAAATATCTATATAGCAAAAGAAAATTGAGCTACCTGCATGCTCCAGAGGATGCGATATGATAATTGGACCATGTACATGATATACATGTTCATGTGGATGTGGATGTAGTTCATACAAATCCGTGTCTGAATCTATCTCTGCAAAACAGAAGATATTATAAGAAATTTAGTTAAGGGTCAGTTCTCAATACACTTTTAGTTTCTTTACGATGAAAAAAACTTATGTCTACCACAATCCAGGACCTGTTCGACCTGTTGTGTCTGATTGGGAAAATCTCTTCATGATACAGACGGATATTGGGTCGCTAGACTTCTGTTGCCATTGGCAACAGCTAAAACGTGAGGTCTATTTAGGGTCCGCCAGTTTGATTTTTGTAAATACAGTCATTGTATGTCAACATAAAACCCTGAAACTAGTATAAAAGATTCCATCTTTTTTTTCACAGTGGAAATCTAACGGGTATGGCATCTCCGAACAGTTGTTACATATATGCTATATGTATTGGAGTTATATGATTGAAAACATCTTTAGTTATTGCAGGCTAAAATATTCGGAAACACAGACAAGTACAGATAGACAGACCAGCAACATTTCCTCAATTTTCCACATAATTGTCAAATTCTAGCATGTCCTCATAAATCATACAAATTAGGACCTGATTTGAATAAATTGTGTTTACAGATGTTCACCTTCGCCGAACGTCCAGACTCGGAAAACACCTAAAGACTCGGCTGTCCGCAACTGATCAATCTTGATCAGGGCCGTCTTCAGGTCTTGTAAAGGATCTGTGCTCGTCTTCTTCTGTATCCACCTTCGAAGCATTTCCCGGCATTTGTCGTCAGGGCCAGGATATCGCAGGTCATGTAGAATTGCTTTGATCTTGCCACGTTTGAACCCCAGTTCACGGGCCAATTCCCTCCACTTGTAGCTCACGTTGTCTACGACTGTGTCGATACAGCTCTCCATGTTAACTAGATCAAGCATAAATGATTCACCACAGTTACTCATGATGTCTTCAGCCAGGATTTACAGATTTACAAAAAGATCTGATGGAAAATATGAATGGCACATCTTTACTATTATTTTTCACTAACTTTCACAAGCAGTACCTTCAGAAAATGGTGTCTTTTGCAGGGGCTTTTGCAGACCATTACCCCACCCCAAGGCCCACACCATATATTGATTGTTGCAAATGTACAATTATTTCAACATATAAGCCAGAGATTATGTAAAGTTTCAGTTTTTTTATAGTTGTATGTTTTATCCCAAAAGCGCGTTGTTGTAAGGGAATTTTTCTGAGACAATACCCGAGTAAACATACACTTAACTTGGACTTTGATTAATGATCATGATAATGATGTAATTTACCAATTACCCTATTCAGACGGGGGGGCTAGCTTTTAAGGGGCCTAAAATATATCTGGAAACAATTTCATATTAATAAGATAAGTTAATAGGTTTCTGACAGGCAGTCTTGGGAAAATTCAGTAATTTTGGTTTAAATTTGGGTTTTGTGTTTAATTATACGTCATTTCTAGCATTGATAACATCTCATATAATCATCTGTAATTTATACAATTAACTAGAAAGGCCGACATTTGCTCGGGAGCAAATGCAGAAGATGGCTACACCACACCCCCCGTACCAAAAATAGACCTATCCCCCTCCCGCACAAATGGAGTGTTCCTAAATGAACCCCGCCAAAATATGAAGTGTTGAAAAAGTCACCTTCTGCTGTTGGAACATGTATATAGTATAGAACCCTGGTAGAACCCGAGTGTTCTATTTAGAACTGTACAGCCACAAAGCCCTATTTCACACAGCTTTGAAGTGCTGTATGTCAAAAGTGTGAATAACATTCTTTGGGCATGTGTCCAAGGTATTCTCACACCAAATTGCAGGTCATTCGGATTAAATTTTAGGTCACAGTAGCTAAAAATGTATATTTTTGTCCGAAAATAGCCAAAAAGCCCTATTTTACACAATTCTAAAGTGGCGTATGTCAAAAGCGACAGATGGCGCTTTCTCACACCGTACTGGTACCGTACATTAGTAAACAAGAGTTCCGAGATCTCAAACCTCCATGACATATGGGCTTGATATGTAAAAGTAAATTTATTCTTTAATTATGCAAATGACCTCTGCATTAACATAATATATGCATCGTAATGTTAACTTTTGATTAACTTACAGATGTCCCAAGTATGACATTCCCATCATTCAAGAAATCATAGAATTTTCGCATTAATTATGCAAATTAGATAATCATTTGCATAATTAGTATGCGTTGATGTTCCATCTGCCATAGGTTACATACATTACATGTATGAAAGTACAATTTAGTATAATGTAAAACACTGTAATTATAGAATTTCCTCATTAATTATGCAAATAAAGTCCTCATTTGCATAATTTGCATTTAATCTCTCTCTCAGCTACCTACCTACTAAAAATGATGAAAATACGTTGTTCCTATCTGGACTTATTGGCTTTCAAAGATTTCGTCCGAAGGTCCCCTGCAGTTCCAGAGCAAGCTGCTAGTGGGACCAAACCCACACCACTTATTCCTGACAAGAAAATCTATCTGTCACCAAAAATTCAAGACCATAGCATGTTCAGGACAAAAGATACAGAAACCGGAATTTCTGCTGCAGTACCAAGGTCATCCAACAGGAGGCCCATATTTGACCTTGACCTTCGTCTTCCTAAGACTTACCAGCATACCAAATATGAACAAGAGTTCCGAGATCTCATACCTCCATGAAATATGGGCTTGCTTTGTCCTCAATAATTATGCAAATAACCTCTACATTGACATAATATATGCATAGCGATGGAAACCTTTAAGTAACTTACACATGTTACGAGGTATAAAATTCTCATCATTCACCAGTAAGGATTCACAAAATTTTCACATTAATTATGCAAATTAGGTAATCATTTGCATTATTGGTATCTGTTGATGTTCCGCCTGCCACAGATTAAATACCAGTAGATTACATGTATAGCAGTACCATTATATAAAACACTAATTATAGAATTTCCCCCTTAATTATGCAAATTAAGTCCTCATTTGCATAATTTGCATTTAATCATGTACAACTGTCTCACAGGTACCTACACACCAAAAATGATAAAAATACGTTGTTCCAATCTGGACTTATTGGCTTTGAAAGTTTTTACCAGAAACTAACCTGCAGTTCCAGAACAAGCTGCTAGGGGGCCCAAACTCACGCCACTTATTCCTGACAGGATAAGCTATCTTTCACCAAAAAATCAAGACCATAGCTTGTTCAGGACAAAAGATACAACAACCGGAAGTTATGCTGCAGTACCAAGGTCATCCACCAGGAGGCCCATATTTGACCTTGATCTTTGTCTTTCCAAGACTAACCATCATACCAAATATCATCACAATCCATAAAGGCTGAAGTTATGATGACCACAAAGTTGCGGAAACACACACAGACAGACAGACACACATACATACATACATACAGACAGACAGACACGCCAAAAACAATACCTCCATTTTTCATGGAGGTAATGAATGAATGGTTTATTTCGATACAAACTACACATCGTACAAAACATACAGTAGCAGCTGCATTATCAGCTGAAATGCATTATCAGCTGAAATGATGTATGATTTACATTACATTGTTAAAAAGAATTCCGAGATTTCATACCTCCATGAAACATGGGCTTAATATGTAAATGTAAATTTCTTCTTTAATTATGCAAATTACCTCGATCTGCATAAACATGATATATGCATCATGATGTATGTTAACTTTTGATTAAGTTACAGATGTCCCAAGTATGACATTCCCATCATTCACCATTAAGAAATCATAGAATTTTTGCATAAATTATGCAAATTAGGTCATAATTTGTATAATTAGTATCTGTTGATGTTCTGCCTGCCATAGGTTACATACATTACATGTATGAAAGTAGTATAATGTAAAACGCTGTAATTATAGAATTTCCTAATTAATTATACAAATAAAGTCCTCATTTGCATAATTTGAAATTTTTTAATCATGTACATCTCTCTCTCAGCTACCTACACAACAAAAATTATGAAAATATGTTGTTCTTATCTGGACTTATTGGCTTTTAAACATTTCGCCAGAAAGTGCCCTGCAGTTCCAGAACAAGCTGCTAGGGGGACCAAACTCACACAATTTATTCCTGACAGGATAAGCTATCTGTCACCAAAACATCAAGACCATAGCTTGTTCAGGACAAAAGATACAAAAACCGGAAGTCTACTGCAGTACCAAGGTCATCCACCAGGAGGTCCATATTTGACCTTGACCTTTGTCTTCCTAAGACTTATCAGCATACCAAATATCATCACAATCCATAAAGGCGTTCTGAAGTTATGCTGACCACAAAGTTGCGGAAACACACACACACAGACAGACAGACAGACACACAGACACACAGACAGACATACATACATACATACAGACAGACACACCAAAAACAATACCTCAATTTTTCATGGAGGTAAAAAAAGTTCCACTCAGTGATACTTAGGTAACGTAGCATTAGGCAAACAACCACAAGGGACAACTGTTAAAATCAGCGCAAGATAACGACATTAAGTCTAACTCCAACGCTATAAATCATATTCTCTAAGAAAAACAAGTCACGCATAAATATAAGTATAAATATAAATATAAATATACATGTGTTACTCGAGGACTGTCTTGGGCTGTTCGGCGTTTAACAGGTCCACTAAGAACGGCAATGTGCTCTTCCTATGTCGTTCCGTCCTACATTTAAACTGTGTTATCTGGTGTTTGGATCTGAGGTTTCTGCCATGAAGGCTCACACGTTTTGGGGGAAGCCAGTTAGAGAAGGTCGTTGAGTTTGATATGGAAGTAGCAAACTTCGTACATAGTACCTGGCGTCTGTTGTACAGAGATACAAGTGACAACTGGTTTAATGCCATACCGTAACTAACAAAGTTTGATCCTAGAATAATCCGACAAACTCTTTTCTGTACATTCTCTATCGCACCGGATTGGGCTCTAGTGATACCAGGGTGCCATACTGGGCATGCATATTCGAGGATTGGTCGGATGAAACCACAGAAGATAAGTACCAAGTCTTTAACGTCAAGCCCATGTCTCTAAGTACTCGCAACAAGTACAGCCTACGGCTCCCTTTACTGACCATCATATTAACATGCACGTCCCACTTACGATTAGCCTGTACAATCACACCTAGTATCTTTGCAAACTGTACAACTTCAGACTGTACAACATCATAACAATCCATAAATGCGTTATGAAGTTATGCTGACTACAAATGTGCGGAAACACAAACACACACACACACACACACACACACACACACACAGACGCGCCAAAAACAATATCTCCATTTTTCATGGAGGTAATAATGTTTCTAAATGTAAACCATATTTACATTTAGGGAAACACTGGTGTTAACCGCAGAGATCCATTATATACCATGCAATTCAATTCCATCATCTTACCAGCTGCAGCGGAAGCCATGTTGGCGATATAGTCCAAGTTTGGCAATGATATGTTGCAAAGAAGGAACCTTATGGAACTCCAAGTCACGGAAGACCAGGGTCAAGTGGACAAGGCATTGATAGTGTCTGGAGAAAACGATAACATTAGGATTTGTTTAGACAACGTACAACTCGTATACATGACAGGGTTGAAAGGGGTTATCATAAGGCCAACTTTTGACCAGAAAAGTTAACAAAAATTATACTCCAGGTAAGACATCCAAACAGGTTGCTATTCAAGTCCGTATAGTGCACAAATTGAAGAGGTTTATGGCTAAGAAAGTTTCAAAATCAAGTTTGTTTCAGATCGTTATGAGACGTGGTACAAACGAGGAAGCAAATGATTTCTATAAATTTTGTTGTAACAGACCGGAAATTCTGTTTCGGAATGAATCCTATAGCTATCAGGTTCAACACCGTTTATATACTGTAATGTTACAGCAAGGACCAACGATATAGCAAACAGTAAATACAGGTAGATAGATCCGCCATTAACAAGCCATGTTTCAAGTCCAAGACGTTCTATTTTCAGAGTTGAATGCTGTTTTGTACATATACCAGTCTATGTAACTTCAATATATGTGCCTGATCTAACAGAAAAAAGTCAACTCACCTTATATGTTTAATCTAAGCACTCTGCTTTTGCGTCGTTTTGGACAAATGTAGCAAGCAGTTTTCCTATAGGATCGCTACGCCTAATCCTATAGCTGCAGGGTAGTGGATAACCTTTGACTTTTAGTTGGCGCTGGTAACGGTAACGGTCACGCGACAGGTAACGTGTTTTGTCGATCAGATTACCTGTGTGGTATTGATGGCCTCCAAGAAGGCCCTAAAGCTTGGGTGTATTTGCCAATAGATTTTCCTGAACTGATAAATTCAAAAGGGCACATAATTAGTTATGGAGTTCTTTTAAAAAGTTCACCTGTTGACTAGCTTTCAACAACAGGTTTGGATAGGAACTTAGACAAAGGCTTCAAGTTGAGAAGGGAAGTCGTAGCAACACCCATGTTTACAATCCAAACAAGACAAACAGAGGTGAGTCACCCGATACCTGGCTCATGGCGTCATGGGAAATTTTTCTAGGGTTCAAAGGTAATTTTACCAGCCACCTTACAGAAGTTTGAAACTTGAGTTGAACCCCAACGTCGATCCGTTGTCCCGAAGTTCTTCACAAGGTGTACCAAGAAAGGTGATATATATATACAACAAATCTAGTTATTTCACTTTGTTGCTTTATGCGGAAAATACTTAATATAACCGGAAAAGGTGGCCCCCTCGTTGTCAAAAAGTCAAAGGGTAACTAGCAACATTTTATCGAAACCCATTTTCTTTCATTCGGGAGCAGACTGACGTCTGCAGACGTTTGATTTGTGATTATACAATTTGATACAGAAACTAGTAAAATACAGGGAACATTTTGAACTACGATTGTCCATAGCCAGCTATAGCGTTTTAAAGGTATTGAAACATTTGTCTTCAGGATTGATTGCTGGACGCTTTCCACAAACCTAGATTCTCAGTTAGACGTCAAAGATGGCTACTCAAGGTAAGTGACTTGGTTTCAGAGTTTGAACTACATCAGGATGTAGCAAATATAACTGATGGGTATTCTTCTAGCCCGTTTTGTCGGCCCTAAAGTGAAGTGAATACTTGTTTATGACCTGACCATGTATTGACTACCGATTACGATACGATATCATGTGAATAACCCCGCCTTCATTGAGAAATAGAATAGTTTAGTTGACCTGTAGTTTATCTCAAGTTTTGTTTCCGGGTGTGGGGGAGGGTGGGGGGGAGGTTGGGGGGTCTACAAATAAAAAAGCCCTTCCACTCTTTTCTGAAGGTACTTAGAAATATAATTGTACAGATACGCTCTGTCATTAATATTTTTCCTCCAGATCTTTTTGTAAATCTGTACGTGTTGCCGGCCTGAAGAGATCTTGACTACCTGTTGTTCATTATGCTTGATCTAGTTAACATGAAAGGCTGTATCAAGAAAGTCGTAAGCAGCGTGAGCTACAAGTGGGACGACTTGGCCCGTGAACTGGGGTTGGAACGTGGCGAGATCGAAACAATTCGACGTGACTCGCAATATCCTGGCCCTGACGACAAATGCAGGGAAATTCTTGAAAGGTGGCTAGAAAAGACGACGAGCACAGATCCTTTACGAGACCTGAAGACGGCCCTGATCGACATTCGTGAGCGGCGGACAGCCCAGTCTTTAGGTGTGTCTTCTCAATTATCACCATATCAAAATCAATATTATGATCACTCTTATCACTCCTATACAGACTGAGACAGATGATGTTAGGATTGTTTTCTATGATCCAAACAACTTACAGTAGTTTTATTCTGGACAAAAATACACAATCATATATCATGCATTTTGCCACCCATATTCATATTAAAATGGACCTCTTATATTACGTTTTAGATATAGGAGCGACTGCTACACCGACAGGTGCGAAGGTCTTCGTGTCCCATGCCAGCGAAGACAAGGAGGAGTTCGTAGAGCCGCTTGTCCAGGAGCTCCTTCAACCCAACCGTCTGCAGAAGTCCGACGTCTTCTACGACAAACACAGCCTGAAACCCGGCGACGATCTGTGGACGGAGATCGAGGCAGCTCTCAGGAACCCGGCCTTGAAGTTGTTCGTGTTTGTTATCAGTAGGCACGTGCTCAGTCAGAAGACGTGGCCCAAGTATGAATATGAGTTGGCTCACGCCAGGGGAGTCCGGATTTTCCCAATCTGGCTTGTACGCGAAGAAGATGAGGACTTTTCACAGAAAGTGTCTGAGTATGACACGATGAGGGGGCTTGAAAGGCTTCTCGCTGAGCGCGTCCATGTGAATGAGGTTGAGGAAAAGCTGCCAAGTATCGCTGGTAAAATCATAGCACAGCCACAGCTACAGTGAATCTGGCAAAGCCAAACACCTTTCAGGTGTCTCTAGTTCCACAGGAGCTATCTTGTGGTTTTAAAACTGTATTGCAAGTTTCTTTCATTGTAAAAGTGGCTGCGAGAATATAAGTTATACCTAACTTGAGTTCGCAGTCACTTAGTCCATGTCCTTTCATTTGTATTCATCAGTGTGCTTCGGAATAAAAAGTCAAGAGTGACAATGTAATATGTAATATGAGACATAATTGGTGAGATTACAGTTCAGATAGAGTGGAATTTCCTTTTGATACAGTTGTCAGTATATCACTGTTTCTTCACTGTATCATTCTAGCAAAGGATAATACAAGCTCACCATTGAATGTAATTCATAGCTATTTACATGATACTAATGGTTTTTATTATGGATAGTTTGATACAGATATAATGAATGGGGATGTGCAGATAGTTTTATAAAGCTGTGTAAAGTGGAGTATGTTTCATTGCAATTAGTGTACAGATGTGACCTTCAAGTGCACTTTGTAAAGTTTTATACTCAATGAAATTGATATTGCTGAAAGAAACATGTGAAATTGGTGCCTTAATATGACTGTGAATGTAAACAGGCACACTCATTCAGTTTCATGACTATTAAGCATCAACAAAATAAATAACAAGATTGAGTAAAAACAACATACACTTAAATTCCATGATTGGATTCATTTGTGTTTGTGTATGTGTGTGTGCATGTGTGCCACTCACAGAGATGAGGAGACCTACTCAAGTACAAGTAAGTAAGTGTGTGTGTATGCATACATGTACATACATGTGCCATTTGATTTAGGTTACCTGCATTAATTAATTGGCTGTATGATGACTAAGGCTAATACAAAAGGTTAGCCCTTATGTGACTGCACAGAATATACATATGTAGTAAAAATACTGCAATGTAGCCTTGTTAAGGCTTACATTTACACACCAGGTCACCCCTAGTGTTCTAGCCTCAGAGTTTGAAGTTCTTGCATCATTTGATGGCCCCCCTCCCCCTTTAAACGTACCTCTAACACCACCTTGTGCATACTGTCTAAAGCGGCCAGATAGTCCTGTGTGTTGGTGTCGTCCCTGTAGACATGTAAGACGGCCGTACAGGCATGACAGGCCCTGTAGACCTGTAGTACAGTGTTACAGGCTGGCTAGGGCCTGAGCTATCGCCCCCTCCCCCTTTACGTACCTCCAACACCACCTTGTGCATACTGTCTAAAGCGGCCAGATAGTCCTGTGTGTTGCTGTCGTCTCCGTAGACGTGTAAGACGGCTGTACAGGCATGACAGGCCTGTAGACATGTAATTAAGTGTTACAGGTGTGACAGTGTATGTTACAGGCTAAGGCCCCCCTCCCCCTTTTAATTTTATACGTACCTCCAGCACCACCTTGTGCATACTGTCTAAACCGGCCAGATATCAATGACATAAAGAGATATACAAGATAGAGCAACAATACTCCAAGACAGAGCAACAATACTCCAAGATAGAGCAACAATACTCCAAGATAGAGCAACAGTACTCCAAGATAGAGCAATAGTACTCCAAGATTAGAGCAATAGACTGAATAGTAATCTGGTACAGTACTTGTGAAATCTTGCACAGTCTTCACATTATAGCATCACTTATTTGTCTTATTATTTCAAACTGGTAGACAGATTGCTGCGGAACGGAGAGAGACAGCCATTTCCTATTGTGCATACTATCTATATCGGTTATTATCATATAGCCGGGTGACGTTGACCAATCAGAAGGCTCCATTCCACATTCTTTATGTCGCCGTAATGTCACAAATAGAGTCAAAATCGGGTATTTATTCATCCCAATCCATACATTAAACAAAATGAATAATCACCCGCATATGACCTCAGGTGACCCAATAGAACACGGCTCTACTTCTAAAAAATCCAAAAATAACTTGAGTTGTGTTCCAATGGCTCCCATAAGAACACCTGTTCCCTGCCTGTGACCCAGATAGAAGACATAGAACATGAACCCCCCAGTGACCTCAGGTGACTCCAGATGGAACAAATATTCTATGTTCTATTCAGCATGTGCAAGGGGTACATTGTGTCACTCTTCACTGCATCAGTTTGGATAGGCTATCGTGTAAGCTATATGATAATAGCGTTAATGTCCCGCCCTTTCTCGGTAAATATGGTGTGATAAAGCCTTGTCAGTTGCTATAACCACCTCATAAAGCCACCTCGTTCGCTGCGCTCACTTGGTGGCTTTATTCGGTGGTTATAGCAACTGACAAGGCTTTATCACACCATATTCACCTCGAGCCGGGACATTAACCCTTAATTACACCATGTCGCTACATTATGTGGGTAATCAAACTACGAATTCGAATACAGTTCCCATTGGGAGGTACAGCACCGTAATCATCATTAACATGGCTGCCGCAGACCAAGAAACCCACGCCAGCTCAGTTCGTCCTCGTTCCTACCAAGACGAGAGCTATCAGCAGGGGTTTCTTGGAACCGTGGGTGACTTACAGAAGGAAGGGGAACTGCAGGATGTCGTCCTTGAAGTCGAGGACCGGCGGTTTCCCTGCCATCGGCTTGTTCTGTCCGCGGCCAGCCACTACTTCAGAGCCATGTTTACAAGCGACATGGCGGAAAGTCGGCAGAACACGGTCGTTTTACAGGTAGGGATGGCGGAACGTTTGGAGTGTTCAAATAGATTGAAAATGCCATAAAAGACCTCCTTGTTGCAAACAAGTGTCTTGATAAGAATACAATCTGCATTCGCCATGCTACTTGAAACGTCCGACCGTTTCTTTTTAATTCCTAGAACTATCGCAGAGTGGAACTCGCTGTCACCAAGTACAGCAGTGTACAAAATACTTTTTTGAACCAGGTTGAACAGTGGGCAACCTACGACAAAAATTAGGTTGCCCATCAGAGTTTTAGGTTGCCCCACCTATATAAGTTCCTCAAATTAAGTAATGTTACATACACAAGCCTTTGACAATTTCTAACAGTCTTTAATTAACTGATACTAGTATTATATATAGCCATTGATACCTAAAATTAAAAAGCGTCTGCCGGATACAGTGGTGCAAGCCAAGTGGGCATGATTTTAGGGGGGGGGGCATTCTTAAAATTCAGGTAGCACACTCTGCTACCTAGGTTAAAAAATAGGTTGCCCCAAGTAAAATTTGGTTGCCCGGGGCAACTGGGCAACCAGGTATTTTGCACGCTGTACAGTAGGGGTATTATCATCAGATAGCATTAAACAATGTTTAGAGTTAGATGTTCAAGGGTCAGGTGTAACAAGTCGTTCGGTGTAATGTAGCCAGCTACCTGCGTACCTGCGAAGCTGGCGTATTATGCCAAAAGGCGGTTATATTACGCCAAAGGGTGGTTATTCCGGCTATACAGATACAGAAGCTGGTGTGTTATGCTGAAGGGCGGTTATACCGGCTATACAGATACTAGTACAGATACGGAAAATCATATATCCAGTTGGTTGACTAACTGTTTTCTGCACAAAGAAACTAGTAACTCAATGATATAAATGAAAATTTATTTATTGTTTGCTTTATTAACAGTTATATTAATTAAGTAATCATATTGATGCTACAGGGTTTGGATGCAGACATGTTTGAGGAGATCCTGAGTTACATCTACTCGGGAACCCTCCATGTGTCCCTGGACAGAGTGCAGCCCCTGTACCAGGCAGCCGACCTCCTCCAACTGGACTATGTGAGAGACACCTGCAGCAGCTACATGGCCATGAACGTGGAGCGCTCCACCTGTGTGGACCTGTACAAGTTTGCTGATGTTTTCACGGTGGATGTTGTTCTGAACTCTTCTCTGCAGTACATATGTCAGCATTTTGTGGAGGTTGGTCTTCTTTTGCATTGTGAGACTTTTAAAAGTTTAATAAAATAATTTTTCATGCATGACATAGCCTCTAGAGACCTAATGATATGAATGGTAGAAACAAATTAGAAAGATAACATTTGCAAGGCAAATGCATAATGTTTACCTTCTCATATGGTCTGCTCACAATAGCACATTCACACATATGGTGACAGGAGTCTAAATCACTCTTGCTATAAAATTGCAACATTATGTAACCCAACGCCAGTTACCATCATGGTAACAGATAGAATACAGTCATTGACCAGGTCAGTGTTTCGAAGGGAAGAAGAAACAGCGCAAAAACAATATGTTTTCCTTTGGTGAACATAATTGAGCTATTTGTTGGAACTAATGGCACACATGATACAGCTGAAGTTACCTTTTTGTAAGCAGGATGAAAGCATTCACTTGTCCACAGCAGCAGTAGACATCTCTCCAGGATGTTCTATTTGCAGCATATGACCTCCATATGGCCCTGGTGACCCCAAGCTCACAAAGTGTTGAAGACTTGGTCATCCAGCTTGCTCATAAGCTACGAGCTACTGGTAAAACTTAATCAAGACACATATACTAGTATATGAATAGCCAATTAGTTTAAAGCATGTCACACCTCTACAGGTTTCCTCCAGTGAGGAGTTCTGCAGCCTGAGTGTGGATCAGCTGACTGAGATCATCAGCCAGGATAAGCTGGAGGTTAAAGAGGAGACAAGAGTGTGGGAGGCTGTGGTGAGATGGGTGCAGCACAGCAGGGAGGACAGGTGGGCAGCACTATGTTTATGTTAACATATTGTTTTTGCTCAGTTTCTTCTTCTTCTCCAGTGACCTTGAGTCCTGGTCAATGACCAGAACCAGACTATCTCTCACCATGGTAACTGGTCTTGTGTTATGTTGCAATTTTATAGTAGGAGGGATTTAAACTCCTGTCACCATATGTGTGAATGTGTTTGAGTAAGAATTAACAGAGCAGACCATATGTGCGAAGGTAAATATTATGCATTTGTTTTGCAATTGTTACTTTTCTAGTTATACAGGTAATGTTATCTTTCATTGGTGTAATTAGTTGATAATTACATGATATTACTGAAGAGACCTGATACTATTGCTGACATGCACGTCAATGTTGATTTTGGACCGTTTAGTCACATGATTCAACATCCCAGTATTTTCTGAAGAGATAAAAAAATATGAAAAAAAAATATGACCCAAAACTCTGGCTTCACCTTGTTCCCTACAGACTGCAGCATCTACCCAGCATCCTCCCTCACATCCGCTTCAACCTGCTGACCTCAGATGACACGGCAGCCATCTTGGAACATCCCTTGGTCAGGGAGGATCCTGGGAGTTCTGAGGTCATCAAGAATGTGGTACAATCCAACCAGAAGCCGAGGCTTGCAATGACCACGGAAATGGTTCTGTTGTGTCATGATGGGAAGTATGTATAATATTATACTTGTTCTTCTTCTTTTACTCAGTTTTCATGTTTGAATTTCTCCTCAGCATTATCTTCCTGAATCCAAGAACCAACATTATATGTCCTTATGTTTAAATGTATCTTGTCTTTTACAGCAGTAAAAAGATGCTGTGGATGAACCCAGGAAAAGGGAAGTACATCTGGTGTGACTATGACCAACCAGTATCTCCATACAGGGCTGTGGTTACTGGTGATAATGAGATCTATGCCTTGGCTGCAGATCCAGACTATATCTATCTGTGTAAATACAACCATGTTGAGAACAACTGGGAACAGAAGTCTACCGTGTGCAAAGGATGTAGTGAACCGGGAGTTCCACATGACTATCTTATGGAAATCGAAGGACATGATCTTTTTTACCTTGCGATATATCCAGATGTGGCATTGAAGAAATACAACCAGCACACGAATGAGTGGCACGACTGTTCAACACCTCAAACTAGTGAGCAGTTTGCCTTCATCTTTGCAGTGTCCTGCAATCAGCGAATCTACGTCTTCACACATATAGAAATGCATTGGTACGACCCAATGGAAGACCGGTGGTCCAAGAAAGCCCTATCAGACTATGGTCCTGAAGTGGAAGTGGAAGTTAACTTCGGTCCGGTAGTTGCCATGGGTACAGAGATCTTTTGGATGGATCCTGGCTCCAAGATGTTGGTGTACGACACAGAAGCAGACAGCTGGTCTGAACATCCAGTCACTAGGTTTCAGGAGATCTCGATCGAGAATAATCCAGACATTGAATATGGGGCTTTCTTTGTACTCCAAAACACGCTGCATGCAATGGTGGAGTATTCATATGAAGATTACCCGAATCCAGACGACGAGCCAAGGCTACTTCAAGAGGTTTTCGTGTATGACAGGCATGAAGGTGTTTGGACAGAGTTATCTGAACTGCCTTTTGGGCGGGAGTGTGTGTACAATTGTACAGACGCCGTGGCTCGTATGTACCTACCATATCTGAACGCCAGCAATGCTGACACACAGGATGCAGCAAACCCAGAGGGACCAGATGGTGAATAAGGCCTATGAAAAAAATGTTTCTTGTTTCGACCCTAAAAAATACTGCCAACCCTAGCCTTTTTTTTAGATCCCTACAAGGGAAATAAATATTTCGAGCTGATCAATTGCAACATTTTCTAGCTCCATGATCTGACACCCGAGTGATGAAATATTATACAATCAGTTTTCCAGCATTGGTATTAAAAATATGAGTGTCCTCATGCAAGTTTCACTTTGTTAAACTGTATTGTATAAGTTGGCTCACTAGAAATCACCTAAGTCAATAAAAAAGAAGGAAAAGAAACCTACCTACCTACCCTATTCGTTTCAGGACCGAAACAGAAGACACATTTTTGTCCTAGGCCTAACTAACATGCAAGAACGTTCGTGTGAGTTAGTTTTTAGAGTAGGCACAGTATACATGTATTGTCAAAGTCAACTTTATACATGTAGTACAATGTAACATCTGTGACCATAATATCACCAGGGTCCATAATATTACCACCTTGAGAAATAGTGTGCTTAAAGATATTTTTACTGCAACATACCCTAGGTATGTACATTTGATGTGTGAAGGAGTGCATACCAAAAGTATGTTGCAGTAAAAATATCTTTAAGCACAGTTTCTCAAGGTGGCGATATTACTAGTATGGACCCTGGTGATATTATGGACACAGATGTTATATTTTCATGGAAGAGATACTTTTTAGATTTGGCACAGTATACTTTTATTGCCGAAGTTAATTTTATGCACAATAGAAAATAGCTGTTTCTCTAACATTTCTTTAACATGTCAAATTTAACTAAGTGATGCTATAATATTGAGTAAACTGAGTAAGATTTCACAACCTCTGTACTGATTCCATTGTTTTGGTATCTTGTTCGTAATTGTTAAAAAAACATGTAAATGATGATGCAATACTCTCAGCTTATACACTGTTTATTGTACACATACAAATACATTTTTAACCACATGTTCTGGTTTGAAGAGTTCTAGGGTCTTTACTGCAAGCATAAAACCACAATGAATATTTCACAATGTTTGATACAATAACAAAATTGTTCAGGATAATTTGGATGACATCTGTGACAATACAAGTGAAAATACAAGAAAATAAATTCCTGACTACAAAAATGACGGCAGGCACCACAGACTTTCTGCAACCTATGATTCACTGCTCACGGAGTCACGTGTGTTATCTGCGTGACTTCAGGGAAGCGGTGGATTGCTCATTCCTTGACAAAGACTGGAGTTGTACAGTCGAAAATTTGGGTGAGTCCAATTTGTTGTGTTGGAAATTGCAGTTTAAACTTGCTTCATAATGATTTCTACCAACATAGATGAACTTGCAAGATACAAAAATGTACATTCAGTTGGTTGAATCAGTTCAGTCCTCATCTACATGGAATTGCATCTCCTTTTTCTTTCTCTCGGCTTGTCTTCTTTAAGCATACAGTATGTGCAAGGAAGAATGCAGTTTATGATGTAATTTATTAACTAAAACTACTATGTCATTGAAGGTTAGACATCCAGGTAATAAGATATGCCAAAAGACAGTTACTCAAGCAACTGGATATGATTGTGGAAACGGTCAGACGTTTCAGGTAGCATCCACTACCTTTTCATCAGTGACACTAAGAGACTGCAGGAGAAAATAGATTCCCGAGTACAAAAATGTACATTTATTTCAGTTTTCATCTACATGAAATGCCATTTCATCCTTTTTCATCCTCTCAGCTTGTCTTTTCCTCATTCTCTCTGCGAACTCTTCCACTTCCTTCCGGTACTCGGGGTTTGAGTACAGCTTCAGACGCTCTTCTCTGCGTTTTGTCACATGTTCCTCGAAGTAGTCGGGCTGGTTAAAGTACCAGAAGATGCCAACAGGGAAAAAGACGTACACTGACAACCTGGATTGTACAAAAACAAGACACCAGAGATTTCAAACTACCAGGAAATACATGTAGTTTGCGATAATGAATGTACATCATAGAGCAGTGCATGAATTACATCATATAGTCCACTATAGCCTCCTTGATAGAAGAAACTAGTAGCCTAAGTATAGTTTCCCTATGACTTTTCTCTTGCATCTAACTTACTACATTTAAAGCCCCAAAACACTGGATAAGTTTGAGCCTAGTGTGCTATGAGTTTGGTACTCAGGCTATTCTGGCATGGGTCTATATCCTTTCTCAATGCAGAATCATAGTACTAAACTTTTACCTGATTGGGCTAATCAAAGAGATTTAAAATTATTTCAAACCTCCTTGGGCAGGTGCACCAATACCCCATAATATACATATGCATATGAACTGTTTTACATTGAGGCTGGACTTGTACTGGGAAAAGAAATCGGCATAGACGGAGTGAGTGAGAGGACTTACGGATTTCACAGTATACTGTACTCAAGGTATGTGTACAGAACACACACGCTCATTACTTTTCTGCTAGTTGTAACTACAACTTGTAAACGTACCTGAATACCTCTAACCTCCAGTCTCCCATGCTTGGTTGGTTCACTTAGCCCTCAGTTCAGAAAATCTGGAAAAACATAACAAAATTTGTAGTAAATATCTCTTACACAAGTGCCCCCCTCCCCAATTTGTGAGGGGGGGTCAAATAACTTGACGTTTCTCTGGATACAGGAATCTTTTACGAGCCACATATGAAACACTGTTTGTTACTTAAATGTAATAGCCACCGCAATATACCTTACAATACTCCAGAAGTCCAGGAATGGTAGGAAAGACAGGAAAACTTCGAACGTCGACCTTTCATATCATATGGGCGCCGCCATTTTGTTTTGTGATGTAACACCCTCAAACAACGCCACCTTGCGGATCACAAAGTTGTTGCACTGTCGAGTATGGTGAATTATGCTTGGCATATTTCAAAGAAAACCAACCTCTGTTTAGAATATAAAAGAATTGAAATCGCCCATCGCAATTATATGAACCTACATTTAAGTATTTAGTCGGTTTGAATGTTGTTATACGGTATCTATGCTCCTCGCTATTGGTGTCTTTGCATTTGAATGCCCTGTTGGAAAGCAAAAGTTTTCATAGTCAAAATGTCAATAAACGTCTTTGTAATGGTTGTTCTATAAAGCAACTTGCTCAAGAAGTGTGTAAAAACAAAAATTAGGAAAAATAGATATTAAAAAAAAAACTCCTTCGAGCCGGATTCGAACCAGCGACCTAAGGATGACAACATGTGTCCGCTACAGTCCTCCGCTCTACCAACTGAGCTATCGAAGGGAGCTGGCAACCCCGGAGGAAAATTTGGCAGGTGTACACCCCCTGCAAGACGCTTCAACCTTGCGAAAGCTTACCACTGATTCGTCTACACATATATCTTAATGGTGCTTTTAAGAAGAATGAAGAAGCTTAAGAGGTAAAGATAAAACACAGAATACTGTAGTTTCCCTATTACTAGCTAACTTATTGTATTCAAGAAAGTTATATATAAGTAGCTAAGAGGCTATAGCCCCATTTAGGCAATAAACTTCATTGCCATTGTCGTAGCTGATAGTAAGAATTGGCTGATCATGAAAGCGTGTATTGCAGACAATTCTGCTTACTTTTTAATCATGATACTAAAGTATTTGTTTTGTATATGCCCTTTGATTTGTTTGTGGTAATGTTAATTTTTATCAAGCTGAATGTTTGGCGAGCAAATAGACAAAAGATTGCTTTTCTATCTACTGAACTTTGTCTTCTACAAGCCAACCACATCTGTTATTCATAATAACACCCCAGTCCCGACGGACCCCTTCCGAAATTGGATTTGAGTGATGAGAGTTCTTGTGCATGTGGTGTTGGATTACATTATGTAGCAAGTTGGAGGGGCTGGTTACCATATACATGTATACTTTAGTTTGAGTAAGAGTAAACAGAGTAGTACATGTAGTTATGTGAACGTAAACATGATGTGTTTGTTTTACAAACATTCTTACACATCAATTCTAGAAACTGTCTGATATCAACTGCAATATGTTTTCTATTAGTAAGTAAATGCTCCTACAGAAATGTTGGCCTGGCTTGCATACATGAATATCCTTCGATAGCTCAGTTGGTAGAGCGGAGGACTGTAGCGGACACATGTTGTCATCCTTAGGTCGCTGGTTCGAATCCGGCTCGAAGGAGTTCTTTTTTAGATTCTCAATGATATGTCAAAGAGTTTTTTTTTAAGAGTACGTATCATAAAGCAGGTGGTAACGAAAGTAAACAATAATTTGAACTTAAGATATTTTTTTCATCACTGCAAAAATGGTTCTGTATATATCAATTTACGGATTGTACAATTTCTACATATGAAACTTAACTGTGTAACAAGCAAACAACAGGGTCTTGTTATGTATTTAAAGTTTATTTACTTGCTTCCACATGTTGAAGTTCAATTTACAGTTTGTCATTGTTGCTATTTGATTATATAAAATGTATCTAAAAAACTCCTTCGAGCCGGATTCGAACCAGCGACCTAAGGATGACAACATGTGTCCGCTACAGTCCTCCGCTCTACCAACTGAGCTATCGAAGGAACGATAACGCTGTGCGAAGATGCATGGATCACAAGTGTACCGCATTGAACCCTCTTGCAGAAAACGTTTTCTTTGATAAATTTAGTGATAATAATGAAATTTACGTGGTCATTAATGTTGAACAAACTGACTAAACACATAGAGTATGGTATGCCGAATAATAATATACTGTTTATTTTCATTTATTCACATTTTCACCTTTTCCTTAATTGATTTCGTCATTCTATGACATTAGTATCGTTTTCCAATACTTTTTGCAACATACAACATATATTCGCTCAAAATATTTATAATTTAATATTTATGAAACTTTTTTTTTGGCAACAGACGAAAATTTAATATTTATGAAACTTTTTTTTTGGCAACAGACGAAAATTAATGCGCGCGCACATGTCATCTAAATAATCAAATCAACATGGCCAGATTAAAGAGAAACAATTACTTGGGCATTTTAGGTACAGCTCATGATTGTCCACCGATTTCAAGAGATGACAAGTCGACATCTTCTTTGCAGTCGCAGAAAGGAAAGTTACAACATTCCTGTAGCCATGGACGAGGAATGAAATTCGACAGACCGATTTGCTTTTCTTCTTCAGTCAGAGACCTGACATGTTCTTCCACTGCTTTATTGATGACGCCCATGACGACAGGGTATCTAGGATCGCTGATTGGTCGATCTTCACCTGGATCGTTGGTGACGTCATACAGCAATGGCGGATCGTTGTAGGTGACCTCTTGACCTGCGCACCGGCAGATGCGCAGTGAGTAGCAGCCTGTGGTACCCGGGTCCCAGTTGTAAGAAACAAAGTGGGCTTTCCATGTGACATTTCCTGTGTGACAAGTGAAAGAGAAAGAAACTTCATTCCTTGAAATTTCATTACTACCAAATACAACAAGGGGATGTCGAATGGGGAGGGCATTACAACTATCCCTCAACAGAGACGGGGGGCGCCACAGACTTTCTGCAACCTGTGATCCACTGCTCACGGAGTCACATGTGTTATCTACGTACTTGACATCACGGAAGCGGTGGATTGCTCATTCCTTGACAAAGACTGGAGTTGTACAGTGGAAAATTTGGGTGAGTCCAATTTGTTGTGTTGGAAATTGCAGTTTAAACTTGCTTCATAAGGGGATGTCGAATCATTTTATTTCAATGCCTGAAAATACAGGTGCCATGAAAATAAAACTTTCTCTGGACGCCAATAACTAACCAAGGAGGTTACTAACCATATACATGTACCGAAGATCAAAGAAATCCATCGTCACATCCACTATGAGCTACAGCTGCGAACACACAAACATTACCTACTGTGGCCGACATGTACAAGTTGAAGTAGAAAAGTGTACCTATCGGCCACCGTAATTAGTAAAATACCGAAAACAGTACTCGCGGAAGGATACCTCATTCCAGTCAGGTGGTAACAAACAATCTCACCATCTGAGTAAAGAGACTCTTTTTACACAGCCAAGTGTTTTATTCAGCCGACGTTTCGGTGACCGTCTGTCACCTTCCTCAGGGCAGTTCTGACTGGTTCACATTGCACTGCAACACAGCTGTCGCTGCTATAGATGCATTCCCAAACGTACAATATTTACATATCTAGACATATACGTGGTTATATAGGGAACTGTATCTACAATGCGGTCCCAAACGTACAGGAGTTGGATTTTTAAAAGCTCACCTTCTCTTGGCCTGTACCTGACCGCGTGCAGATATTCGCTGCAGTAGTGGAACAGCACGTCGTGAGGTGACGTCACTGCGGCCCCACCTAGCAACGGCATGATGTTGCGCCCGTCTATCACCTATATGGTGACAGACGCACAAAACTGTTCAAGCTTGTTTCTGCTTGCTCAACGGAATTCGTTACAATTTATGCTATAGATAAATTCAATTTTATTCTAGAAGGTAATAACCCTTATTGTGTACAAATAGGTAAATACATGTCATGTATGTCAAAGGTATGCCAAAAAGCAGTTACTCAATTCATCAAGCAACTGGATATGATTTTGGAATCCAGTTGCTTGAGTAACTGCTTTTTGGCGTATCTTATTACATGGATGTCTAACCTTCACCGACGTAAAATATCAAGGAAGGTTTAGACCTTAGACAAGTAGTATATAAGTTGATTCATCTATTGTCTTGTACGTATCTGTCTGTATGCATGTCAACATGTAGGTAAGACCTTGCGAAAGTCGCTGTACTTTTGTTGTGCCAAATACAGTTCATATCACCTTGTCCTGAGGAAGCGGCGTCCCCAGGATGTCAGCTACCGTTGGGAAGATGTCCATTTGACTTGTTGCTTCGGACACCACAGTGCCGGGCTTGATCTTCCTATAATATAACAAAAGGTACAAGCAAGAAAAGGTTAACTTCGTTGAAGAAAGTTAGTACTATATATGAAGCATACAAGTACAAGTACAAAACAAGTACATACATTTAGTGAATGCTTGTGTGTGTGTGTGTGTGTGTGTGTGTGTGTGTGTGTGTGTGTGTGTGTGTGTGTGTGTGTGTGTGTGTGCTTGTGCGTTGTTGTTATGCAAGATTTGGAATACCTTGGCCACTGCACAAGTGTAGGCATACGAATCCCTCCTTCAGAACCTCCCTGTCCTTTGCCTCCTGGAAGGATGGAATCGAACAAAAAACACAATAATTTGAATTAACAAACTAAATTGTCCACTCTAGATCTGTTAATTCTTACTCAAACACATTCATATATATGGTCAGATGGGAGTCTAAATCTTTCCTACTATAAAATTGCAACATGATGTAACCCAACACCAGTTACCATGGTGACAGACGTCTGGTTCAGACCATAGACCTTATTTCTTTGGAGAAGAAGAAGAAACTTAGTAAAAACAATATGTTTTCCTTCGGTAAAAACATAAAAATCATGATGGTTGAATAATTTTATCCCTCACCCTTGTATATGCCGTTTGACCCTCCTTCGACCCCCGTTTCAATATGGCCGCCGTTGTCCGACGTGAAGTACACAAACGTGTTCTCCGTGAGACCGAGGCGTTCTAGCGTTGCCATGACGACCCCGACGCTCCAATCCATCTCCTCCACGGCGTCGCCATAGAGACCGTGGCGGCTTCTCCCGCGGAACTCCATATAAGGAAGTTGGGCGGTGTGGACGTTCCAATACGAGACTTCCAACAAGAAGGGTTCTTTTTTGCTTTCTTCCAAGAATCTAACAGCTTCAAGGGTCATCCTAGGCGTAATCGTAGAAACATTGAACGGCATTTCTATGATTTCGTCATCTCTCATAATCACACAGTTTAACCGTCTTCCATTGGTCAGAGCTAAGTGTGGATACGCTACAAGCGACCAACCAAATACGGACAACAGAAACACAGTTTTCCATTGGATGTACCTGAAGTATTTGAGAGCCAAGATGGCGACGAAAATTGTTGTTGAAATCTCCCACAAGCGCAGATGTCGATAGAGCAACATTGCGATGTACTGTCCTACTGTTACTGTCACATCTGGATCGCAGTCCAAGCCGTTGGTTAGAGGGAGCCCGTAGAAGTAGTCGAAACCGAAGTTGCTAGGATGGTGACAGTGGTCGCCTGCCCATGCACAGTTGAGACCAAGATGCCATTTTCCTGTAAATGAATTTTAAAAAACACTAGAACGGTAACATTTGCAAACCAAATGCATAATGTTTACATTCGCATAATTAGTCTGCTCTGTTAATTCTTACTCAAGCACATTTTCATACATATGGTCAGACAGAAGTAGAAATCCCTCCTGCTATAAAATAGCAACATGATGTAACCCAACACCAGTTAAAACAAAAACAAAAGTTAAAAAACATTTTTTTTTCAATGTAAGACCACAGCAAGTAAATTTCATGGACGACATACTCCGCAGATTCGAATTCTAATGCGATAGGGCGAAAAAACAAGGTGGGCCGAAATGACTAAAAACTTCCTTCGTATTTTCTAATTTTGACATCATAAACCTTGTTAAGCAGAAATGGTACCTATATTGCGCTAAGTTTAATGCCAACTATTACAACATCAAGTAAAACAATAAAAAATTTCGATAATCTGTCATCCACGTTCCGGCATCGCAATGGACATCTTTGCCCATTTTCAGCATGTTGAGCACTGTCAGAGGGCAACAAAATTTCTTTCTTTTTTTTAAATCAGGCGAAAATACTAAATGCGCGCGTTCATGTCGTCCATAAAATTTACTTGCTGTGGCCTAATATTGTAAAACGTGCATGTATACAGAAAATCGCAGATTTTAGACCTGGAAAGTGATTTTGTTTGTTTGTTTGTTTGTTTTGAACGATGTATCACCTAACTCACCTAGTAATGCTGTTCTGTACCCATGAGCCTTTGCCAGTTGTGGAAAAGTGACCTCCGACCTCGGTAACCCGGATGGAATGGCCAACTGTACAAAAGCTAGTGGTAAGTCCGTCCCAACCATTCCTGTAGATATAATTATAAAGTAAAATTTACTGCAAAGCAAATGCATGTTTAACTCTACATGTTCTAGCTTACTAACTTATGTTCTCTTAATTACTAAAAAACATTCATATATATGGTGAGCAGCCCCCCCCCCCCATCTCTGTTCTGCTTCAAAGTGTAACCCAACACCACATATTGTTGCTACAGCACCAGGTACCATGGTGACAGACGTCTGGTCCAGGTCATTGACTTTATTTGTTGGAGAAGAAGAAGAAGAAACTGAGCAAAAAAAAAGCAATGTTTTCCTTCTGTGAAGGTACGTAAACACAAAGTCTGGTCCAGGTCATTGACCTTGTGTGTTTGAAACGGAAGAAGAGGAAGAAACTGAGCAAAAACAATATATTGTCATTATGCAAAGGTAATAAAAATAAGTTTACCATATCTGATGGGATACCGCCCGGTGAGGAAGGCCGATCTGCTGGGGGTACAGACGGCAGCGGCCGCCAGGTGCTGGGTTAACTTGGCCCCCTTAGCAGCTATCCTGTCGATATGTGGAGTTCTGAAAACGCAGGCAAAAAGTTCAGTGGTCCATAGTTTTGATAAGAGATGTACACTGTAAGAATACAAGTATTGCACAGCGAACTAGACTATTTCCTGAGAGGGGTGAAAGATCACCATTCACTCAACCGCGACGGGGGCCGACGTCGTCTACCTGACCCAGTGTTGACGGCACACTTTACGAATTAATGAGCCTGACTACGGATTACGAAGACTAAAAAGGCCCGATTACGCCTTACGAAAAAGGGCATACATGTGGTTCAATGACCAAGGCTGCAAAGTCCAAAGTTCATGGTGGCGAGGGTGGAGGGGCTACGTGTGAAACGTGGCCTCATAGCTATAGATTACTCCTGTTTATACCCTAAAATCCAGACTAGTATCGGGACGTTAGCCGTTTTCCTTCGGCAGCCAGAAGCCCTTCGCCCGCCTTTCTAAATTACCACTACGGGGGAGTTGAGCCCGGGGGAGTTTGGTCGGCCCTATATTGGCTCTTGGCTGCCGAAGAAAAAAAGGCTAACGGTCCGATACTAGTCTAGCTCCCTGAGGGTATCCTTCTTAGTACAACCGTGCGTCCTTACCGGATTGTGTCGTTTCCGAAGCACCCGACGTCGCCGATGCCCAAGTCGTCGGCCACGAAGAAGACGAAGTTGGGCCGATCGCTCCCTCGGGAAGAACCGAGGGCGACGCAGCACAGGAAAGCGAACCACGCCGGACGGACCATGGTCTCTGTTTGTTTCACCCCGAAAGGTAACAGTCTACAGGTCAACAGTCTACGGGTCAACAGTCTACGGGTCAACAGTCTACAGGTCAACAGGTCCGCGCATGCGCTAATTTGGACACCGTAGTCAGATCATGTTACCAGTACGTCGGTGCAGGTAACACTGGCAACTTACTCACGTGACCAGCGATTTGAACTCTTGTACTTTGGACTTGTTCCTTATCTCTCCCTTCCCCGAGCTCCATATGTGACAAACGGTGAGTAGAGAACTTTTCTAACTTACTTAAAACTTGTATTTTGGCCCAACCTTTCCAAGTCATCTTTAACAGAATTTAGCTCTATTTTAGATCGTATAAGGTGTATATTCTTATTAAGAATTTGAGTGTATTTGAGCAAGGAGCCTTCCAGTACATTATTGCTATATATCATTTATGTGAAATCTATGATACATTTTCACAGGAACAACGAAAACGTTGGATAAAGATGGATAAGTGGTTTGAATACAAAGGGGCGCTTTTCGATCCACGGATGTTCACCAAAGAGTCGCTTGACGTCATACCTGATTACGTCATACGTGACGACGATGTCGTCATTGTTACCTATCCAAAAGCAGGTAAGAAATGATTATATATATTATCATATATAAATCATTATAACAATGATTTAGGAAAAAATATGAAATAGAAAGGTAACATTTGCAAAAGCAAATGCATAATGTTTACCTTTGCATATGGTCTGCTCTGTTAATTCTTACTCAAACACATTCATATAATATATGGTGACAGGAGTCTAAATCCCTCCTACTATAAAATTGCAACATGATGTAAGCCAACACTAGTTACCATGGTGACAGACGCTGGTTCAGGTCATTGACCTTATTGGTTTGGAGAAGAAGAAGACGAAGAAACAGAGCCAAAACAATACTAGTATGTTTTCCTTCGGTACACAAATATCATGTCATATATTTTCCAGGGACGAACTGGATTATAGAGATCGTGAACAAGCTGCTGAGGGCTGCTGGGAAGACTGACGTCACGACAGAGGATATCCCGTGGGCCATCGAGTCCACCTTACCGCAGTTCGGACAGCCTGGTCACGTGATCCTCAAGGACCAACCATCGCCCAGGATTCTCCACACGCACCTTCCGTACCATCTGGCGCCAAACATGGTCACAAATCCGGAAGGAAAGGTAATATCTTTGTGTGTCAATAATGATATTTATGTTTACCGAAGGAAAACATATTGTTTTTGCTCTGTTTCCTCTTCTTCTTCCTCTCCAAACCAATAAGGTCAATGACCTGAACCGGACGTCTGTCATAATGGTAACTAGTGTTGGGTTACATCATGTTGCAATTCTATAACAGGGGGATTGTCTGACCACATTTTTTTTTTGATATTTGCAAAAGGCCATTTGACTAATGATTTCAGTTGATTGACAGGGTTGTGATCCGGTAGGCATATGCCAATAATGCGGTATAAGTTCGCCAAGAATTTGTACTGTGTAATAATAGTATGAAACATGGTGAAGGGCCTTATAGCGGAGTAAATTACATCGTACAATCATTCTATGATGTAATAACGTCGGATATTTCCCGATGATCATACAAGTCTACTTACCATATCTACTTTCAGAAAGTTTCCAATTTCTTGTTTTTTTTTTATAAAAGGTGAAAGCTATAGTGTTGATGAGGAACCCTAAAGACACGGTGGTGTCTTCGCATCATTTTAATCGCAAGATGCAAGCATCACTGGGCGCGCCCTCGGATGTCACACCCTGGGACAAGTATTTACAATGTTTTTTGGACGGGAAAGGTAAGATTTCGTACTTAGAATGTAAGAAATGGCTTTGATATTACTTCTAGGAAGGAAGTATGTTTTAGGGCGTTTCAATTGATAGTTTGTGTGTTTGTGTTGAGTCCGCACTGGGACCTGTAAATTTATTTTGGACGGAAAAGGTAAGAATCCGAAATAACGTTGTGTCATTACTTCCTGGACGGAAGTTTTGTTTACGTGCACGTTAATATATAGTTTGTGTGTTTGTGTCGATTCCGCACTGGGACCTGTTGAGTTTAATGTCATTAACGGTTTTTGAATAAACTTTTGCAGAAGAAAGCGTTAATTATGTGCTCTAATATTAAAATTCAGTAATGTACGGTGATTTCTACGACCACGCGCTGGGCTGGTGGCAGATGAGAGACGATCCACATTTCCTGTTCCTGAAGTATGAAGACATGAAGAAGGTTAGTTTCCTTAAAATTACGGTGCACATTATGGTGTTTGTGGGAGATATTAGATACCTGGTTCCTTTACAATAACAGTACATTATAGTGATATATATATATATATAATAGACACCTAGAAGTTTAGTTTGCAGCTTGTAGCATGTGTAAGGTAAGGACAATGGGTTTTCATTTATGTATTGCTACTGTGTGTATGGAGGGGGTATTGTTGTTTAGACAACCATTCCTAGACATGCCTGTGAGACTTATCTGCAATATGTTGATAGCTAAGATAACAACTAGGTATGCAGGGCTTACTCCAGAAAAAGTGCGGATTTATCAATAGAGAGGTTTTAACGCACACACATGATATTTACAGTGCATGATGCACTTTATCATCTAAATTAACAATTACCAAACTTACCTGGAATTTATCATTATTGTTAAATCAGTCCTTACATGTAGTGTATGAAACTCACAAGTCAACCACCCAAAACAATATACTTTCGTACTAGGAAGAAACAAGTCATTAGGTCGTCCAAAACCCTCACCTTCTTCCCTTCTTACAGGACCTGTCCAGTGTTGTTATGAAGATAAAGGAATTCTTGGACATCACTTTGGATGACGTCACCACGGCAAGCATCATCGAGTCCTTCAGTTTTGCCAACCTGACATCTGCTTGGAAAACTTCCGGAAATCAACTCAAAACTTTCATCGCAAGAAAAGGTGATGAAGTACTCAGGGATTGGATGTTTTTCTGAACTATCACACTTTTGCGTATCTACCAGGCTTCAGAGGCGGCTGGAAAGAGTAGAAATTGACAATGGACAGATTTTGTAGGAGAGTTAGTCTACCCTCTACCAGGCTCTAGAGGCGACTAGAAAGGATGGAAATTGACCAAATAGACACATAACATGCATGCCAGGGGAGTTGATTCGCTAGAGGAATACAGAATCCGGCAAACTGTACTGATTTAGCGGACCAACTTCCCTGGCATGTTATATGCCTATTTTTGACCAATTTCTACTCCCCGGGTCACTGAGATACTTTGTGTCCAGTGTGCTCCCAGGCTAACTCTTTGCAGCCGCTCCTGAAGCCTAGTAGAGGATAACTACATTTAGTATTTTGGGTACTTGGTAAGATTTGTTAGTTCCTTTGGCAAAGCCTTTGGACTAAAACTTGAGTCAAAATCAAAACTATCATTTTTGTATGATTGTTGGTGTGTTTTTACCTCCATGAAAAATGGAGGTATTGTTTTTGGCGTGTCTGTCTGTATGTATGTATGTATGTATGTATGTCTGTCTGTGTGTCTGTGTGTCTGTCTGTCTGTGTTTCCGCAACTTTGTGGTCAGCATAACTTCAGAACGCCTTTATGGATTATGATGATATTTGGTATGTTGGTAAGTCTTAGGAAGACAAACGTCAAGGTCAAATATGGGCCTCCTGGTGGATGACCTTGGTACTGCAGCAGAACTTCCGGTTTTTGTATCTTTTGTCCTGAACATGCTATGGTCTTGATGTTTTGGTGACAGATTGATTTTCCTGTCAGGAATAAGTGGTGTGAGTTTGGTCCCCCTAGCAGCTTGTTCTGGAACTGCAGGGCACTTTCTGGCGAAATGTTTAAAAGCCAATAAGTCAAGATAGGAACAACATATTTTCATAATTTTTGGTGTGTAGGTAGCTGACAGAGAGATGTACATGATTAAATGCAAATTATGCAAATGAGGACTTTATTTGCATAATTAATGAGGAAATTCTATAATTACAGTGTTTTACATTATACTACTTTCATACATGTAATGTATGTAACCTATGGCAGGCAGAACATCAACAGATACTAATTATGCAAATGATGACCTTATTTGCATAATGTATGCAAAAATTCTATGATTTCTTAATGGTGAATGATGGGAATGTCATACTTGGGACATCTGTAAGTTAATCAAAAGTTCACATACATCACGATGCATATATCATGTTAATGCGGAGGTAATTTGCATAATTAAAGAGGAAATTTACATTTACATATCAAGCCCATATTTCATGGAGGTTTGAAATCTCGGAATTCTTGTTTTATGATTGCAGTTGTTTTTGTTTCATTGCAGGTGTGGTTGGCGACTGGAAGAACCATTTCTCGGAGCCTCAGAGTGAAGCTTTCGACGCCAGGTACAGGGAGAGGCTGGAGGGGACTGGTCTACAGTTTGACTTTGAGTAGGGCCAGAATATGGATGACTACCGCGAATTTCGTACCACAATGCTGTAAACCCTACAAAATAGCAGCAGAGTGAGCAATTTTATGTAATAAATTGCAAAAAAAATAGGAAAACGTGTTTCTAAAGTATCAAAAATACATTTTCTATATTTCTAATACTTAGCGTTCTCTAAGAAAAGGTCCAAAATAACTCCTTCGAGCCGGATTCGAACCAGCGACCTAAGGATGACAACATGTATCCGCTACAGTCCTCCGCTCTACCAACTGAGCTATCGAAGGAACGATAACGTTGTGCGAAGCCGCATCCGTAACAAGTGTATCACAAGGAACCCTCTTGTAGAAAACGTTTTCTTTGAAGATATTGTGATCGTCGTATGACATGATAAATTTATTAGACACTCATGTAAACATTGATTCAATGATAATCGCTATGGCTCGAGCTCATCAAACCATTCGCGATTTTACAGCTTTAGTGGCAATGTTAATAATGTTTACTAAAATATTGCTTTGACAAATTTCATACCGCATTTTCTAAATTTTTTCTATGTTGTAGAGGAAAATGGGGTCCTTTAATTATTGTTTCGGTCCGATTTCTTTGGTGAAGAAAAACAAACAAACAAATAAACAAACAAACAAACAAAAATAACTTAGCCCCCTGTGAGATTTGAACTCACGACCCCTGGTTTACAAGACCAGTGCTCTAACCCCTGAGCTAAGGAGGCTGATATTTTTTCGTATCCATTTTCTGTATCTGTATCAATAAAGCCGGTATAACCGCCCTTCGGCGTAACACACCAGCTTCGCAGGCACGCGGCGCGGCGACGCAAATTTTCGTCTCGTAAACGGTCGTCGCCTTTCCGAACGGTCGTCGCCTTTTCTCAGAACGGTCGTCGCCTTTCCGAACGGTCGTCGCCTTTTCTCAGAACGGTCGTCGCCTTTCCGAACGGTCGTCGCTTTTTCTCAGAACGGTCGTCGCCTTTCCGAACGGTCGTCGCGATCGCCTTTTCTCAGAACGGTCGTCGCCTTTATGAACGGTCGTTGCCATTTCCGAGCGACCGAACTTCAGTTCCGAATATCTGCGACATGTTCGTGACTTCCCGGGGTTCTGGAATGTGGGAATCACACTTCCCGGAGATAACATGGCGACCGTAGACGAGCCAGAAAAGTTTGTCTCCTCAACTGCTGATTTTATAAGATCAGCATACGATTCTAGGTCTGGTTCTTCTCCAGCCTTTTCTTGTTTCCCTTCGCCCACAAACTGAGGAAGGGTGTCTATAATACCGTTAATTACAGATGACCAAGGAATCTTCAACCAAAACAAACATAGATCCGCTGTGCTATATTTCTCAATCTCTGCATTCCTTTCGTCTATGTAAAATTCATGGAGGATGGATGGAGGTGTGTCAGAAGGGAGGTATTGTCCATATTACGTCTTAGTTTGACACGAGTTTTGACAAATTTGTAGCTATTTTTATCCCGAAATTGGTATATATGTAGTTTGCCCTCTCGCATTAGATTTGGAGTCTGCGGAGAATGTCATCCATAAAATTTACTTACTCTGGCCTAAGTTACTCAAACACATTTATATGACATATTTCTAGCCCTCGAAGGCTGTTCTGTCATTTAACTTAATGCTACATAATGTAACCCAACACCACAGGGTGTCTTCTACAGCGTCAGTTACCATGGTGACAGTCGTTTGGTCAAGGTCATTGACCTTATTTGTTTGGAGAGACGGAAATCGAACAGAAACGATATTTTTTTCCGTCTACAAAGCCAAAGGTGATAACAATAAACGGATAACTCAATGTTTCTAAGGTTAATCACAAATAAGATACAATATTCTATTTCTTTTAAATTAAAAAAAAAAAACTTAGGTAAAAACCATTTGCAGACATCACAGCGTTTACATTTGATATGGGAATGTAATAATGTAACAAATTACGTAAATAGACATATAAAACTGAATCTAAATTCAAAATCACAATCAATATACCAAATCCACAGAGTTACAGTGTATAACATCAGGCTATAGTAAATATTCTGATGTTTAAGCTCTAATTTGATCTGTAAATAAATTCATGCAACTGCACAATCCTTTAAGTCATAGCCTTTTGAGACTGACTGAGACATTTCTGTTGAAATAGAAAAAGTTAATCTCCAAGCAGATTCGGTGGGGCAGGGGGACTTTATATTGGCCAGTCCTGTATCCATTGGCCGCCTGTATCCAACGTTCGCCCCAC